TTATTTATATACTTATATTAATTTAAGACCATATAAAAAAATAAAGCTTTTCCAATAAAAAAAATAAAAAATAAAAGCTAGGCCTCCAATTTTTTTTTGGTTTTAGATCACTAATTAGCTTGAATCGACACTGGGATTGAGCAATTCACGTTGCCAAATTGGCAAAAAGATATAACAATATTGAGTCTTGAAAAATGATATGGAAAATAGTATTTAATATCAAAGATAAAATATAGAAAAAAATAGTTATTTTTTTTTTATATGGCAAAAGTGACAAATAAATAATAAAAATATATTTTAGGAATAACTGACTAGTAAAAGTGAACGAAGAGAGTACAATTTAATTTGTAGTAACGAGCACCGGCATGAGTATAGTTGAGAGATTCTCAGCAAATTCTTGGTAACTTGAAACAAGTATTTCTTGAAAAAAAGAGACAAATGTTAGTTATTCTAACACGGCGAATACTACCAAACATTAGAGAATTGTATAGAATCACACGAGCTGGAAAGCTCAAATTCTAGATGATCCAAATTAAAATAATGGAGCTGCTGTGGGCAACTCTTTTTTCACGAAAAAAAGAGAAGATAATGTTATAGTGTGTTTGGTACGAAGGAAAATATTTTTTTAGAAAAATAAATAGAGGAGGTGTCATTAAATAATTGTCAAAGAAGGAAAAATAACATTCATTTTGAAACGACTTAAAAAGGAAAGGGCGTGAGATGAATTAAACGTAATGAAAATGTAAATCATGTGTCAAATAGTTCGTGTTGAAACATGACCACAAGATATTCATAAAGATCACACATATACACTAATTTCAGCCTGATATGACCGTTGATCAATTTCCACCATAGCTAAATGGGACAGAACCAGTGGTTCTTGTTTTGCTGTGGCTTATTTGGAAATTAATTTGCGCTTCTTGGTCATACGGAGCTTTTTAAGTTTAACAAACCTCTTCAGTTCTAACCATTTCAGTATGCTAGATATCTTGATCCAATTCTTCTTGTACTTGTCTGAGGCCTCTGGAACCATCAAAACGTTGTTCATTTGGCGTTGTTGATTAGTATTTGTGCCATCTTCAGTAATGAAAGTGTGCACATTTGTGTCACCATGTTGCAATCCATGAAACTGTGTGGCATCTGTTTCAGCAGCAGAGTTGTTGGTTTGGCCATGCTCTCTATATGACATATCATCATAATGAATTGCATCAAGATTAATTAATTGTATTATTTTCTCCAAATCTTCTGATTCTGAAATCGCAGATGTGATACAATTGAGGGATTCCAGATGCTCCCAAGTACCTAAACGTGAATGCCCAGGAGAAGTGATAGCAACAGACATCTCATCTGACTCTGATTGCCGGTCAGCAATTGCATAAGAAGTCGAACATTCAGCACTGTCTATCCACCGGTTAATTTCAGTTGTTCCCTGAATCAAACGTTCATTGCAAAATCAGAGAGATTTTCAGGGTATTACTAGTGTAGTAAGCAAATAAATTTGGTACTCACTGAAGTATTTTGAAACTCTAAAGACTGGCATTCGTCAACCGTGACCAAATTTCCTAGGTGACATCTGCTCATGCCCCCTATCCTCAGAGAGGGTGATACGTTAATAGAAATCTCGTTGTCCAATTTTTCAACATTTTCCCAGTTTGCAAATGCAATTTCCACTAACTTTTGTGCATACGCCTGTTTGTCAATGCAAAAATTGAAGCAGGGAACTAAAAATGGACCAACAGATGAGCAGATACATGAAAATCAATCAATAAATATATACCTTTTGAGTATCAGGAAGCATGTTGAAATGAAGTAAACCGCACCCTGAGTCCAACCACATCACCTGACCAGCAACATCAAACGCCACCGTAAATTTTTGTTCCGTCTCCAGATGACGGTACAAGTACTTCCTTCCATCAAGATTGCAAGTCTTAGCATGCGTTGTAACTTTTTTCCAATAATTTTCAGACATGCTTTTGCCAAGGATCTACAGTCACAAAAAGTAAAAACTCATTTGTATTGCTTCCTACTGAAACGAGAAAAATATTGTAATGACCCTAAAGGTCATTTTTGGAAATTTTCATAAAATGACCGTTTTACCCCTCCCGATAGTTGCCCCGAGTCCTAATTAATGTACTTTCGAAGTTGGTTTGAAGGAAAATTGATGAAAAGTTGAGTTTTTGGAAAGTTGAGTTTTTAAGAGTTAAAGTTTGGTTAAAAGTGCTATTTCGAGTCATTTGGAGTTTCGAGACTCGAATCGGATTT